ACGCTGATCACGCTGTATGCCAGAATTACTACTTTGTATCAGACACAGGTGCAACAAACAAGGAAAGATGTTTCACTGTCGTTATGAATACGGAAATGTGTCAAACGTGAAAGCGGGTTATGAATAACGTACGTCAATACTTGATTTCCTAAATAAATATCCGAAGATTCCTAAACATGAATTTCCTGAATATTTCACGTGTATGTCCGTAATACAATATTTGCACGCACTTGCTATTTGAACACTGTCGCTTAGCCTTTTTATGAAGTTAACATATTTTATTTAATAGGGAAATGTCCACTGTTGTTACAAGAATGTATTATTGCATAAGCACATTTAATATAATTATATCAACTATACCTTCCTTCCATTTAATCATCAGTTAGTTCAATGTTTTCCAAACTGTATGGTGCCTCACCCCTGGATGGGAAGCGCACTGGTGGCTGGGGGACGGCCTTTTGGCGGGAGAGTCCAAAAATAATGTTTGTTTGTAGTTATGCACAAGGCTACACAATGTGCTATCTGTGCTCTGCCCACCACAGGTATCGAAACCTGGTTTCTAGCGTTGTAACTATCACTTTCCTGTCAAAGCTTTTTTCTTTTTTTGCTCTCGCAAAACATTTTTCAATTTAGAACAAAATTAAAAACAGGTAAAGAAAATGTTGATTTTGCTGTTATCACTTGCGAAAATTATTTTAATGTGAACGGAAGACGCAACGAAAACTTTGCTGAGTTAGGAGGGCGCCGGTATTTAATTAAAGTTTGGAACACACCGAGTTAGTTTATGAAGTAACTATAGGGTTGGGTGCCATCACATAGCCAGAGCGAATATTCTAAAGCGACCAAAGGAGGTTTCGAGCTATAACTTCCAATTATATACATATATATTCATGCACACGTACATACTTATATATACGTGTGTATTTGTATGAAGAAAACAACAAAAACCGAAAGCAGGACTTCGGTGTCTTCACAGCTGGTTACGGCCCTGTTTGGTTTCATATGTACGTCGAAGGTAGACGTATTTTGTAGGGCTATGACAAGAATCAACACACTTATCAATCAATCACCAGCCTATACCATTCACCTGGCTGGCCTGAAAGGTTTACATTTAATATTTCTCTTTACAAAGCTTATCCTTTCTTCTGTGTTCAAGTATAGTGCAGAAAAAAAACAACAACAAAGTTTAAAACTAATAGTGTGTAAAATAATAAGCATACATGTTTTTGTTATTGTTTTTTTTTTATTAACTGATTGGCAGTGTTGTTTGGAACACTTATCTACATTCAAAGTTGAAATACATCTTAATATATTTTGTTTCTGTACTGACCAAATAATATTAGAACACACGGTCAATTCCAAATTGCTTGGCAAGAACTGTGGATAAATGTTAATATAAAATAAATTGACATGCCTATACGAAAACTTTTTCTAGTTTATTTTTTGTGACTTTATTTTTGTTCTGATCCTAATTCCATTGTAACACAGTCTTTACTGCTTGACGAAAGATGTCTGCTTGAAACGTCACACAAAATAAACTAGAAAAAGTTTTCATTTAGACGTGTCAAATTTATTACTTATTATCATTTATCCAAATTTTTCTTCTCAGGTCTTGGGTCTTGAGAGACAACATTCATGGCAAGAATTGTGTTCACTTAAAATATAAAATTGGAGAAAAACCAAATAGATGAGAAAATCAATACTGAAAACAATAAATCAAGTTTCAAAGAAAAGGAGAGAAAGGAAAAGATCCACACAAGTTATTTTCCCCTATAAAAACATGTTGTTATTTCAAGCATAAGCTCTTATACATATACTGTTTAATACTAAGTTTACTGAGAATTTATTGTATGGGATACGATGTGGTAAATTCAGGTAAAACTGAGTTAACCGTAGAGCAATGGGATAGATCAACTTCATAACTGAAGATTCCGTCAAGATACTAATTATGAAGTAATGCTATATTTCTGAGTAACTAAGGCATAAGAATGGATGAAATAGAGAGACAAGACACAAAGTGTAAAACCAAAATAAGCAATATTATAAGATATTTAAAACACAAGCACAGTGTGTGTATTTGCTTTATTGACATGAGACATCATAACAAGCTAAATCAATTTACCAAACTGACTAAATCCAGCTTTTGTTACTTCACAAAAAACATCATATTTACCCAGAGCACCTAGTATTAACCATATGACTGCTCATTCTCATTCAAAAATAGGTAAGGCCAAAACCTCTAAATATCACTTTAACAACCACTGAAGGATAATGCTGTTGGCATCTTTACACAACATGCAGTACTGCAGCAATACCTCCCATGGGAAGAGCAGGTATTATCTACTCAAGAATATCAAAGGAACAGAGGCAGCTAAATCAAAATCAACTAACAGCTTTCTTGAGTCTTGATAACATTATGTGAAACCCACAAATATACAGAATAAATACTACAATATTACAAGAAGATAGACATGAATGGTATATGAATATACCACAATAACAAAGTTTTAGATTCCATATAATACTATCACATGCAAAAAAATCTCGTGAAAGCTTAGTGTAGTAAAAAAACATTCAACAAAACAAATGACAAGCTTAAGACATTTGCATAATTGTTCTATAGTTACAATTTGGATGTGTGGAAGAAAAATTATGTTTGAGTAAATTTAATTGCTACCCTAATTTTTCCTTTACTTAGATGTAATCCAACAGTATACTGTAAATAATAAGAAACACATTAAACCTTAGAGAAATTAAACCACAAAAGTAAGTTTTACACTAACTTCCATTGCACTCATTATCAAGTTGAAAAAACAGAAAAACACTATGTAAGAAAATTATATGATGAGTAAACCAGAATGGATGGCAACTGCCTGTTGTAAAAACACAAGTGTAAAGGATGACGTTTCTAAAGTCTTCCATCTTCAGGTCAGTGTGTGTGTACGATGTTGTAGGTCTATATAGTATCCTGGTGGATTGTGGAAGACATGTTATGATTGGTTTGTTTATCCCTGGTTCTGATTGGTGGAAAGACTGCATGAGGTTTCAACCATTGTATCCATAGATTGCTCGCCTCTAATCCCGAATCTCTGTTTAGTGAAGGCTTTATTGTGTTATTGTAGAAAAATGTAAAACCAATCACAACAAATCCTCCACAATCCACCAGAATAGCATAAAGACCTGCAACATCTTACACATACTGACTTGAAGATGAAAGATGGAAGACTGTCAAAATGTTATCCTCTACTCTTGTGTTCTTACTACAGGCAGTTGCCATCCATTCCAGTTTACTCATCATGATTACTCTGCCTAAACAATCTATCAAAGAAATTACATGTTCAAATGAGCTGTTTTTTAAATTGATTAACCAGTTAAATGGGTTGAAAGTCTGAAATTTGGTTAAACTGCACATGTCTGTTGCTAGTAGTAAAGCTACTAGACTTTTAGGATATTTATAAACATATTTATTACAAGTCATGAGAAGTAATCACCAATACAAACCAATCATTATGCCTCATTTAAATTGTGTACAGTTTCATCTCTTTATTTAAGAAAGACCATTGGCTTGCAGTAAAGTGGTAAGAGGGGAGCTATTAGGATGATTCCAGATATGGTGAATGGACAAATTATCTTTTAGGGATACATTAAGGTCTCTTAACTTTTTCTTTTGAGAAAAGAAAGGTAAGTAGTGATCTTATTGAAGCTTACAAGATTATCTAGGGAAATGATAGGATAAAAATACTATCATCAAGCAAAGATAAAGTATAAAATATTATGAATGTTCCTGATTCTCCAAAACTTATTAATTACTGTTGGAATTCATAAGACTGCATATGTAAGGGTTTATTAAATTTAAAATACTTTTATAGCATTAACTTAATTATTACCAACTATAAAAAAAATAGTTAAGTTTGTCCTGTTAGAGTTAACACGAAAATAATGCATTAAAGAAACTCAGTGCAAAAATTGTCACTATCAGAGCAAAAAAGAGATGCTAGCTTTGGCCTTACAAGAACAATATCATATAAATACAAACACTAGTATAAGAAACAAAAGACTGTCACACACACATATATATATATATATATATATACAAGAAATGACAAAATGGTCTTTCAGCATATTCCTCCTTAGCATACCAACTGTCACTACCATTTCCTGATTGCTATCTTGAAATATAAACCCTTTGTTGCTTTGATTTGGATTATATACAAGAAATGTCAAGATGGCCTTTGAATGTAATCCTCCTTAGCATACCAGTTGTCACTACCATTTCCCGATTGCTATCTTGAAAAACAAACCCTTTGTTGCTTATCTGTACCTTGTGCTTCATTAATTATAAGTTTTACATATGCTACCATCATTCCAATAATATAGTCAGAGAACTGGACACACTATCTGTATGTGGTGCATCATTAGTTATAAGTTTTACATATGGTACCATCATTCCAATAATATAGTCAGAGAACTGGACGCACTATCTGTATCTAGTGCATCATTAATTATAAGTTTTACATATGGTACCATCATTCCAATAATATAGTCAGAAAACTGGGCACACTATCTGTATCTGGTGCATCATTAATTATAAGTTTTACATATGCTACCATTATTCCAATAATATAGTCAGAGAACTGGGCACACTATCTGTATCTGGTGCATCATTAATTATAAGTTTTACATATGGTACCATCATTCCAATAATATAGTCAGAAAACTGGGCACACTATCTGTATCTGGTGCATCATTAATTTATAGGTGTTTTACCAGTAATAGTTTCCAAAATTGCTCCATGATTATTTTCTATATTTCTTACTCTTAACTTAAAAAAAAAATGATTAAAATTTCTTTACTGTAAAGCAACAACTGAAATTATGACTCATTTACAAGTCAAAACTGACATACTCTAAGTCATCACATTTCATTAATTATGAAAAACTACAGCTCTTTATTAATTTTTAAAAAATAAAATATTAAACAGGCGAATGCATAACATCTACCTTTATGAACATCTTCATCAGCACTGTGGAATGAAAGGGGAACATCAGGACCAGAGAGATCTTCCATGTCCTCATGTGAATGAGGGTCATGATGACCAATACGGTGTCCTGTAAGAGTTGATGCTGCTATGTTATTTAATAGATCAGCCTTTTCCCAAGATACTACACTTAGTAGCACATAAGCAAAACTGAAACCAAAAATGATACCAACACCTAAAGTCAAGATGAAGGTTTTAGAAAGTCCTGTCCCTGGTTGGTGATTTACTGTTGTCAACATGTCTTCCTACTTTGACAGTACCTCATACAGCTCTCTGATAGTGCAAATCAGTCATTGTTGCAACATTCATTACTATGCTGAAAAAAAAATTAAGAAGTTTAGTACACTTCAAATTTTGAAGATTATTCACATTAACATTTGCATCACTACCATGTTTTAGTGTTTGTGGTTTTCATAAGTAACATGTAGGAATAAAAAAAACATACACACTAAACAAATATTTCTTTAGAAGTGATTTGAAGCAATTGCATCTTATTTTTTTATACATCCTTTAGAAATGAATATTGTTTTGTTGCTGAGTTATTTTCCTAGACAGAAAAACTCGCATGTATACACAATACTTTTAAAAACTCGGAAAAAATTAATATTTGTAACACTACCTAAAAATAGAACAGTCAAATATTCACAATTCATAATTTTTCAAGTACTTGTAACCTGTTTTAGAAAGAATATTTCATTTTTTTTTCACAAACATATATGATATACTTGGATGTAAACAGTGAAAGTGAGAATGCACATTTAGTCTCTGATAAAAGAATGATTAGTTAAGTTTCTTGAAGATAAAGGATATTTTTAAAAGGTTTTCTGAGAATGTGAAAAGAGGTTATAATGTTTTATTAAATATACCTAACAATATCTCCAGTTGTATGAATGCTTATAGCTAATGTATTTCTTGGTTTATCAGTACAAGAAACTTTTTACAAACAAACTCCACATCTGAGACAAAAAGGTAAAAAAACACAATCTAACAAAAACCTTTCCTTTATGCCTTAGAAACTGATAAAACAATTACTGAACAAGGATAAAAATGTATGAAAGAAAAGTTAAGGTTTTGGCCTTCTTTCTCATTTACAGAGGTTCTTTGTCTTTTCTTTTGTGTTGGTGATAATTGAAGGAAAACAGCCTGATAGTTTGCCTCTAGTGAAATCCTGAAAAATGATGAAAAAAAGCTTAAGACACTATTTCAAGATGGTATACACAGGTTTTGATAGGTGATCCTACATTTGGAAAATGTTATTGATTGTTAAATATTGTTTAACAGTCAGAATGGAGATTTGTATGCTTAGAAACCACATGTAAGCTGTGATAAATTGGTTGGTAAACTATTGGCTTAAGAGCACTAGTAAGCTATGAATTCAAAATTCAATTAGTGGACCAAGAAAATTTAGAAATTTATGTTCATATAACTCAAAGACAATCTAGTTACACAGATAGTAAACCATATGTATGCATTTTTGACTGGTGTTTTAATGTTGTCAGCTGTTGAGTGCAGTGGTCAGTGTGATGAAGATCTGTGTTCCACATTTTTAGCCTAAGGTTGCCAGGACATATTGTTTAATATGGGCTAAGGATGAACTTAGATTTAAAAAAATATTACAGCCAGAATAGATGTTCAATGTCCAGAAAGTGTTAAACTTCTTAAAGTTACAGCATTTACACTTGGTTTTCTCCTTTCATGTTGTTGGTAAAACAAATAGGTTCAGTTTAAACTATTATCCTTTTCTTATTTTTAAGAACATATACATCTGAAATTAAAAGTAATTTATTTGTAAAATCTCCCAAACCTGTTCCACCTCATCTTTTGCCTAATTATTACAATTCTCTAATAAATATTGTTTCATGGTCTAAAAACTGATTTGTGAAATGTATAAACTAAATATTTTTTTTTTAAATCTCAACATGTAGCAAAACATAAAACCTAATGCAATGATCACTATACCCAAAATGTTCCCCCAATTCAACTCTTGCAACCAAAGAAATTCCCACTTATAGTCACACTTTCTTTTCTACTTGTAAGTTAATTTTTCTGTCCACCTCTTTTTTTTTTCAAGTTCCATACATACCTAATTTATTATTTTATCTCTGTTTTGGGACCTTTGAGATTTATTAACTATTAGTATATATAGCTTTCAAACTTTAATTTCTTCGTTGAACTTATAAATTAGAATATAAAGAAGTTGAATTATATCGGTCATTAGGCTAATGAAACATTTAAATTCAAGTAAATAAAAAAAAGATACAAGTGAGTAAGAACATGATATGATAAGTCAACATTACTGATTACTACTATAAAGATACAACAAGACTAGAACTAGAAGGGCTGTTATTAGATCTACTACAGTACTTAGTAGTATTAGTAATATTATTACTATTACACTGGGTATTCAGTAATACTATTAGTGCTGCTACTACAATTTACAAGACTACCACCTTATCCATGTAAATTATAATATATAGTTAAATTTTAAAATTACCAAGATTAATAACCCTAAAAATGCAATTACGGCGGAATAACATACCTAAATTTTCCAAATAATGTTGCAATGTTTTCTCACGAATTCCGCATTTACACAAGAGATGTAGCCAGCAACGAATCGAACACGAACAGCTAATGACATCAACATCAGAATATGGTGTGTAAGTTTTCACCCTGCACACAAGCCTACATTCCCAGCTCTATGGCAGTGCTCTCTAGTGAAGATCATGTAAACAAAATTATTATTATTTTATTGACAAATATTAAACATAAATAACAATATTACTCATATTATCTTGCAAGAAAACACAACTAAAAAGTCATGATAAGAAAATAATCTATAAGTGTTTATCATATATATATATATATATATATTGTCAATAGCAACGTTGTTCTTTTGTTGGGCGGGTTCTTTTAAATAATTTGATGAAAATAATTCGAAGTCTAGTTCATTTAACGGTAACAAATTAGTTTAGTTCTTCCTTAACTTCGCTACAAAACAGTCTTCAAATGTATGTGTTTGTTAGAGATTTCGTTTCGTTTTCACCAAGATGAAATTGAAAAGACAATCTGTGACATAGGGCCTAATTTATTCTTTGATTAGCCTACCCTGTGCTGCGGACTGTAGTTTCGTCTATTCAAGCAAACTAAAGAAATGCTCCCTTGGAACACGAGAAACATATTTCTTTCTTTATTCATTCAGCATATGTATATGAAATGTTTATTGAATTTAGAATTTCACACAACTTTGCCTCCCCCCCCCATGGAAAACTTTGCCCCTCCCGGGAAACATTTCTGCGGACGCGTAGAGAAATTCTGTTAGGCCTCTTACACTATTGTAACTCGTAGGTCTAAGTAAATAACACGTTAATTGTACTGCGAGTAACGTAGAAAGAAACTTGTACAATTTCACGGCTAATTTATTGAGTAACTGAACGTGTGCAGTAACTAATACTGATCTAAATGCTTCACTAAAACGAAATACTTCACTGGACTAAAACTGATCGACTAAATACTCATTCAATATTCAATGCTCGTTGAAAGCAAAAACACTAATTCTCCTATCTATAACATAGTACTACGACAGCGAGGTCACGTGACGCTAGTAACACGTCATATTCTCGAACGTTCACGTCCCTTCCTGAAGCCTCGAGAGGTTACTAGATATGCGGTATTCTTGTATATATAACACCTGTAAGAAGTGACGGCAACAATGTAATTGAACTGCAGACATAGAGAGACTGACGATTGACTCGAGCACGTGAGTCGTTCTTTGTGAATTATAGCGTTTGTTATAGCGTGATTGTGGAAATTAAGTGTATTGCAAAGTTATATTCAGAAAGAATAAACCAGTTTCATTTAAGAAAGGACTTGTGTCGCTAAAGTTTTATCGGAAAGAAATTATACGGGAAATTAACTAACGATGGAGGTGTAACAAATTGGTGTCAGAAGTGGGATAGAAAAAAAAGGTGGAAACGAGAAGTGGCAAATCAAACTACAGCTTAGCAGATTTGATGGCAGCAATACAAGAACAGCAAAAGAAACAAGAAGAACGAGAAAAGAATCAAAAAGAGAGATTACAGCAGTTGTTGGAGGAAAAAGAAACAAGAAGAACGAGAAAAGAAACAAGAAGAGAGATTACAGCAGTTGTTGGAGGAAAAAGAAAAGAAACAAGAAGAGAACTTACAGCAGTTGTTGGAGCAAAAACCAGAAGAGAGACAACAGCAGTGGCAAGAAAACCTGCAACAGTGGCAGCTCAAACGGCAAAATAAACAAGAGAGACTACAGCAGTGGTTGGAGAAGACAGAAAATAAACAAGAAGAGAGATTACAGCAGTGGTAACTGGAACAATAAAGGAAAC